GTCACTAGAGATTTTTCAGTATCAGGGACACTAAAAGAATTCCTACATTTGCAACAACATCATGCCAGATAATATCCACAGTTCAAATCAATTCTAAGATTCTATAACACCTAAATTCATAATTATTTTTTTGAGATGGAGTCTCGCTCTGTCACCAGGCTAGAGTGCAATGGCGCAATCTCGGCTTACTGCAACTTCCGACGGACTCCCTGGTTCAAGGGATTCTCCTGCCTCAGCCTCCCGAGCAACTGGGATTACAGGCATGTGCCACCATGCCCAGCTAATTTTTGTATTTTTAGTAGAGACAGACAAGGTTTCACCATGTTGGCCAGGATGGTGTCGATCTCCTGACCTCATGATCCACCTGCCTTGGCCTCCCAAAGTGCTGGGATTACAGACATGAGCCACTGCACCTGGTCCAAAATTCATAAAATATTTTAAAGATGACTAGACAGCAGCTGAATTAAAGAACATTACTCTAACCTACCCCAAAAGGAAGCATAACTTTCTAAGAAATGAGATTTAACTGCCTGTTTTACAAAACTCAGTGGAATTACTCATAAAAATAGCTATATACATTATGTTTTCCTGTATTAGTGAACTTTAAAAAAAAAAAAATTAAAAACTGTCATTAAGACTGGAAATAGGGAGAATCCCCTAGTTTTTATTTGACCCTGTGTGAAAAAAACAAAAGAAACCAATTTGTCAATGCCAATTTGTCAACCTATTATTTCTCAAAGGGTAAAATGACATCAAAGAGGCTTTTTTAGGATGCAGTAACTTTTAAAAAGCTTTGTAGACTAACAAATATTTGTCTTCACATGTATACATGAGAAAGGGGGAAAGAAGAGAAAGAGTTAAAGGTTTCTTAATGCTTTATATAATTATAATTGGGTATGGGTAGAAGAAAAACCATGGAGAAGAATGGAACTAAATAACGGCTTCATTCTCTCTGCTGTCATATATTATTATATCTTGAGGTCAAAGTGATCTGGAAAGAAACCACTTTCCAGATCTGGAAAGAGGCTGTAATGAGCCATGATCATACCACTGCACTCCAGCCTGCGTTGACAGCGAGACCCTGTCTCAAAAAAAAAAAAAAAAAAAAAAAAAAAATTTGGAGATGGTTCTGCCCATTCTGACTTCTCTAATAAATGAGGCAATTCTCTGAGCCCAACTCTGATCCTCAAGGAACTGTAATTATGTGATATTTAAAATTAAAATATTGTTTTTTATTTTGGCTTTTCTTCAAACAATAATATATCAAGATCATGTATCTGCCAATATTATGTAATAAATTTATTTTGCCAAAAAAAGCCACTTTTGCAAAAGAAAAAAATGCAAAAAAAATGGAATATAAGATATTTAATCTGAAGTCATCCTTTTCCTATGGCTTTCATAAAAAGCACAAAAAATGTCTAGTTACTGTCATCTTTAACTCACTACTATATATAATCTACATACTTTTATGTTACAACACTTAGAGAAAACATTCTACTTTCATTATGTTAGTTATAATAAATATGCTGCAATCTTAGGATGGATTTATTAAGAGAGGTGGGGTAGCATTTTCTCCCCATAAGAAAATCTTTTATAATAATATATTTTTTTAAAACTTGTAAAACATTATCTTCCCATACAACTTTCCAAAACAAATTTTCACATATGAAAGACTACTACAGAGAAGCAACAAAATCAAACTGGAAAGCCTCTGTTATGGGTTGAATTTGCCCACTCCTCTCCAGAAAAGATATGTTGAAATCCTGACCCCCCCAGGACCTCTGAATGTGACCTTATGTTGCAGATGTTACTAGTTAAGATGTGCTCATAATCTATTATGATTGCTGTCCTTTTAAGAAGCCAACTGTATGAAAACAGAGACACACATGGAGAAGGCCATGTGATGGCAAAGGCAAGAGACTGGAGTTAAGTACCTGTAAGCCAAAGACTGCCAGCAAACCATGTGAAGCTAAGTAGAGGCAAGAAAGGTTTTCCCTCCAGATTTCATGGGGAACACAGGCGTGTTGATACCCTGATTTCGGACTTGTAACCTTCAGAACTCTAACCATGAGACACCACACTTCTGTTGTTTTAAGCCACCTAGTTTGTGGTACCTTGTGGCAAATCCAAGAAACGAATACAGCCTCCATTTGATGACAAGAGTAAAAAAAAAGTCACACGAATCTAAGGGTTATAATTGTGTTCACCATAATTGGTTACCCAATTAAAACAGGATTTTGGCCTTGCTTCAGCATGGTCACTATGAACATGGTCTCCAGCTCATCAAAACTGAATCCATGTTTCTATTAGATATTCCATTTATTCAGTATCTAGGCTAGACAGTTATCTAGTCCACTAAATTTAATAAATGTGTGTCTGTTTTCCCACACGTTACAGGACAGTCATGTTTGTACTTTATATTGTATGTATTTTGACCAGGTAGGACATACCCATAGTAAAACTGGATAAAAAGAAATGTGTTTCACTCTCACTCTCCTGTCCACAAACCACTGTTCCCCACCCCAGAGACAAACATTATTACTAGTTTCTTCTGTGTCTTTCCAGTAAGATTCCATGCATTTATAAAAATACTATAAATATTATGTATGTGACCCATATAAATGGTAGCATACTCTACATATTCTGAACCTTTTTTTAATCACTTCACATGTGTCTTGGAGACCATTCTGTATATGTAGAACTTATTTTTCATTTGCAGTACAATATTCCATTATGCGGATGCACCATATATATTTAACGAATTCTCTATAGATAGATATTCAAGTCACTATCAATACTTATCTTTATCACAATGATGCCACCTTTTCTTTTTTTTTTTTTTTTTTTTTCCCAGAGTCTCGCTGTTCCCCCAGGTTGGAATGCAATGGCATGATCTCAGCTCACTGCAACCTCCATCTCCTGGATTTAAGTGATTCTTGTGCCTCAGCCTCAGGAGTAGCTGGGATTACAGGTGCCTGCCACCATGCCCGGCTAATTTTTGTATTTTTAGTAGAGACGGGGTTCTGCCATGTTGACCAGGCTGGTCCTGAACTCCTGACCTCAAGTGATCTGCCCACCTCAGCCTCTCAAAGTGCTGGGATTACAGGTATGGGCCACCACGTCCAGTTGAGGGCCCGCTTTCTCTTAGATGTTACCTTCTCACTGTATCCTCACATGGTAGAAGGGTAGGGCTAACAACTCTCTGGGATCTCTTTTACAAGGGCACTAATCCCAATCACGAAAGCCTAATCATCTCTCAAAGGCCTCACCTCATATTACCATCACCTTAGGGGTTAGAATTTCAACATATGAATTTGGGGGGAGGAGAGACACAAATATTCAGATCAGAGCATTATTCATTTTTAGATTATTAAAATCTGACAAATGTGCTAGTATTATCAAAATATCTCTGTATGTTCAATCATCCAACATTGAAATTAAGAACTATGTTCTTTTGCTGTATTATAGTTTGTTGAGACAGGGTCTCACACTGTCACCCAGGCTGAGTGCAGTGGTGCAATCTCAGTTCACTACAGCCTCAACCTTTCCGGGCTCAAGTGATCCTCCCACCTCATGCTCCCATGAGTAGCTGGGACTACAGGTGTATGCCACCATGCTTGGCTGATTTTTTTTTTTAAGAGATGGGGTTTCACCATGTTTCTCAGAATTGTCTTGAACTCTTTGGCTCAAGTGATCCACCAACTTCAGCCTCCCAGACTGCTGGGATTGCAGGTGTGAGCCACCACATCCGGCCCTAACTCTGTGTACTTTTTAAATTACAAAGATCTTTTTTTTTTTTTTTGATATGGAGTCTTGCTCTGTCACCCAGGTTAGAGTTCAGTGGTGCAATCTTGGCTCACTGCAACCTCTGCTTCCTGGGTTCAAGTGATGCTCCTGCCTCAGGCTCCCAAGTAGCTGGGATTATAGGCATGCATCACCATGCCATGCTAACTTTTTGGATTTTTGTAGAGATGAGGTTTCATCATGTTGGCCAGGCTAATCTCGAACTCCTGACCTCAGCCTCCCAAAGCAGAGATGGGGTTTGGCCATGCTGCCCAGGCTGATGTCAGACTTTTAGGCTCAGGTGATCCCCCCGCCTAGGCCTCCCAAAGTGTTAGGATTACATGTGTGAGCCACTGTGCCCGGCCAGGAAGGAGTATTTTCATTTTTAAGATACTTAATAATCAAGAGTTAATTCCAAGAGAATATAACAGGCTGGTTTCCTAACTATCTTCCCCCACTTCTACATATGTACAGCCTTGTCTATTACCAAGTACCAAATAACCCCTTAACTTACCAAAGAAATCATCAGAAAGGCTGATGAGTCCTGGGTGGTGTTTGTTACAACAGTATTTTTGAAGGGTTATTTGTATTTAAAGAGCAAAGGGAAAAGATAATACAAAATTTGCTAGATTACTTAGATGTAAGTGGAAATCTTAATCTTACATGTATTTTGAAAATTGTATTTCTAAATAAGAATTTGTATTTTTAAAAAGTTATGGCTAGGAATACTATGCAGCCATAAAAAACGAGTTTGTGTCCTTGGTAGGGACATGATGAATCTGGAAACCATCATTCTCAGCAAACTGACACAAGAACAGAAAACCAAACACCACATGTTCTCACTCACAGGCCGGTGTTGAACAATGAGAACACATGGGCACAGGGAGGGGAACAACACACACTGGGGTCGGCTGGGGGTGAGGGGCTAGAGGAGGGATAGCAGGGGGCAGGGAGGGTAGGGAGGGAAAACACTGTGAGAAATGCCTGATGTAGGCAACGGGGGCACAGAGACTGCAAACCACCATGGCATGTGTGTACCTATGCAGCAACCCTGAGGGGTGTGCACATATACTCCAGAGCTTAAAGTACATTAAAAAAAAAAAGTTATGACTATAAAACAATAATTTGAAGATTACTTCTTTAATGAGAAAAAGGAGCATGCTGGACTCTATAATGCTATATTTAGTCTTTTAGTGTAACAAACTGAGTTCAAGGGAAGGAGAAAGAAAAGAATAACAAACAAAACAAAATAAGGCTCAAAGTGAAAACAAATCCTTCAAAAACATAGTTTTCAATTCCGGCTGGGTAGTAAAATAAACTGGTGAGGTTTTTTTTTTTTTTTTTTTTTGAGACGGAGTTTCACTCGTTACCCAGGCTGGAGTGCAATGGCGCGATCTCAGCTCACCGCAACCTCCGCCTCCTGGGTTCAGGCAATTCTCCTGCCTCAACCTCCTGAGTAGCTGAGATTACAGGCACGCGCCACCATGCCCAGCTAATGTTTTGTATTTTTAGTAGAGATGGGGTTTCACCATGTTGACCAGGATGGTCTCGATCTCTTGACCTCGTGATCCACCCGCCTCGGCCTCCCACAGTGCTGGGATTACAGGCTTGAGCCACCGCGCCCGGCCCATATGGTGAGCTTTTAAAGCACTATTAATACCAAAGCCCCACACTGACAAATTAATCAATTCCTAGGAGTGGTTCCCAGGAATCTGTGCTTTGTTAAGGGTACCTCCAGACTATCTTACTGTACTGCCAAGATAGAGAACCACCATTCTAAATAAGTCTTTTTTTAAAAAAAACATTATGTACATAAATTCATGCACCATAACATTCACCTTCATTATATGAATATTTTATGAGCAATTAAGATATGACAATTTGACACAGCTAACCAAACAGCATTAAGAAATAACAAAACTACAACTACAGACCATAGAACAATCTTACTTATAAATCAGACACACTTGTTAAGTATTTCTCTACAAGGCTTCTTGTGAAAGCCTTCCCCGTACCCAAGAGTTTTTATATTGACCTATATTTTTTCCTAGTATTTTTCAGCTTTTCCTTTTTTACACTGAACTCACGAAAAATCAAGAATTTACCTTGGTATGGAGTAAAAGACAAAGATCTAGTTTTCTTTTTTTCCCCAATTTTTATATTTTGGCAATCACTTCCATAAGCTTTAATTACCATGTTTGCTGGCCTGTAGAGTATTATAAAAACTACACTGGTTTAATCAGTTATGGCCAGGCACGGTGGCTCAGGCCTATAATCCCAGCACTCTAGGAGGCTGGGGTGGGTGGATCACCTGAGCCCAGGAGTCTGAGATCAGCCTGGGCAACATGGCCAAACCCTGTCTCTACTAAAAATATAAAAATTAACCAGTGCTCTAGTGCCAGCCTCTAGTCTCAGCTACTCAGGAGTCTGAGGTGGGAAGATCGTTTGAGCCTGGGAGGCAGAGGCTGCATTGAGCCAAGACTGTACCACTGTACTCCAGCCTGGGTGACAGAGTCACATCCTGTCTCAAAAAAAAAAAAAAGAAAGAAAGAAAAAGCTAGTTACGCCGGGCGCGGTGGCTCAACTTTGGGAGGCTGAGGCGGGTGGATCACGAGGTCAAGAGATCGAGACCATCCTAGTCAACATGGTGAAACCCCATCTCTACTAAAAATACAAAAATTAGCTGGGTATGGTGGTATGCATCTGTAATCCCAGCTACTGGGGAGGTTGAAGCAAGAGAATCGCTGTTCCTTTAGTTAGTATTGGGAATGCAAACAAGTTAGCATTGGGAATGCAAATAAATCTCACAAGAAGGCCTCTTACGAGATATGTAAAGCAGAAGTGATATGGAAGCTATCTTTCTGCAGCTGATTTAAGTGATGAGGAATGACACCAAGAAGATTTAGAAGCAACTGTGATAGCCAAACTCTACTCATCAGATATGAAGGCAACTAGAAGCAGTTATGGCACCAGATTCAGCATTCCTATGACTACTTACCAGTGTGCTTCCTGACCTCTCGGTCACAGCTATGTTCTTGAATAATCTAGTGATAACCCTTTGATTCCAGCTCTTCAAATTGCCTACCATAAGGTATCTTTCTGCCTAAAAAATCCTAGAATAGAGTTTGTTTCTTGCAAGGAACTCTGAAAGATACAATACTATTCATTATGTTCAAAATATGTATTGCCTATATTTTTCCTCTCCCTCATTTCAGAAGTCAAATACACAAGAATTAGTATTATTCTATGCTGCTACTATAAGTTGAAATTTTTAGGTCAATATGAAGATTTAAAAGTTCTTTTAGCCATAGAAGGAAATTATTTTATTTATAATACATGCTAATCGTGAATCAAAATAGAATGTTAACATTCCTCACACTGAATGATCCTGCTCTTCTTGGCTGAATAAATTTATGTCAGTAACCTACAAAGATACAAGTACTGATGGTTTTTTGGTTTGGGGGGTTTTTTGGGCAACAGGGTCTCACTCTGTCATCCAAGCTAGAGTGCAGTGGCAGAATCCCAGCTCACAACGGCCTCAACCTTCCATGTTCAAGAGATCTTCCTGTCTCAGCCTCTTGAGTTACTGGGACTACAGGTGTGTACCACCATGCCAGGCAATTTTTTTTTTAATTCAGAGATGGGGCCTTTTTTTGTTGCCCAGGTTGTTCTCAAACTCCCAGGCTCAAATGATACTCCCACCTTGACCTCCCAGAGTGCTGGGGTTACAGGCATGAACCACTGTCCCTGGCCTGGGTTTTGGTTTTTAGAGACAGGGTCTCATTATGTTGTCCGGGCTGGACTCAAATCCTTGGGCTCAAGCAATCCTTTCACCTCAGTCTCCCAAGTAGCTGGGACTAAAGCACACAACATCACATGCAATTTCTATGGTCATTTTTAAAAATTATTTTCACTTTGATTATCCAAGAAATAAATGATTATTGTAAAAAAGTGTGGAAAATATAGAAACATTTTTAAATTGGGGGTGGGCCCTAGGTAGCTCATGCCTTTTGTAATTGCAGTGCTTTGGGAGGCTATGGCACAGGATTGCTTGAGCATAGTAATTCACAACCAACCTGGGCAACATACCAAGACCCTATCTCTACCAAAAAAAGTTTAAAAACTAGCTGGGCATGATGACATGTGCCTGTAGTCCTAGCTACTCAGGAGACTGAGGTGGGAGGTTCACTTGAGCCCTGGAGTTTGAGGTTATAGAAAGTGTGATCACACTACTGCACTCCACCCTGGGCAACAGAGGAGACTGTCTCTAAAAAAAATTAAAAATGAAGAAATAACCATCCCCTCAAACCAGGTATATTGAACAGCTGTACATGTACAATTTTGTATCCTACTTTAGCACTCCAACAATTGTTTTCCCTTGAAATTCTTCATAATGAATTACTAAGAGAAGATACATGCAGACATACTTAATTTAACAATCACTCTTTACTGAAAATTAAGGTAATTTTCAACTTTTAAAAAAAATAATGCTTCACTGGACATTTTTGGATAAAAAGCTTTTTGAAGGATAATGTGTTCTATCCATGCAATGGATTATTATTCAGCCATTAAAAGGATTGAAGTACTGATACATACTACAACATGGATAAACCTTGAACATATTATGCTAAGTGAAAGAAGCCAGTTATAAAAGGCCACATATTTCCTACACTGCTAAGAGAAACATAAAATCGTGCAGCCACTTTAGAAAACAGTCTAATAGTTCTACAAAATGTTAAACACAGAGTTACCATACAGCCCAACAATTCTACTCCTAGGTATATATACTCAAGATAAATTAAAACAAACCCATGCAAAAAATTGTACATGAATGTCCATATTTACAGCAGCATTATTCATAATAACTGAAATGTGGAAACAACCCAATGTCCATTAACTGATGAATGGACAAATAAAATATTGTATAATCATTCAATGGAATAATATTCAGCCATAAAAGAGAATTATGTACTATACATGCTATATAAATAAATCTTGAAACACTATGCTAAATGAAAAGTCAGACACAAAAGGTCACATCGCATGATTCCACTTACACTAAATGTCCAAAGAGGCAAATCTAGAAAGAGAAAATATGTAGTGGCTATCAGAGTACATGGGAAGGGAAGAACAGAAACGACTACTCATTTCTTTTTAGAGTGATGAAAATATAAAATTAGTAGCAACCGTTGTACAACACCAACTAATGTAAAAAAGTGATTTTCGCCAGGCACAGTGGCTCACACCTGTAATCCCTGCACTTTGGAAGGCTGAGGCTGGCGGATCACCTGAGGTTGGGAGCTTGATACCAACCTGACCAACATGGAGAAACCGCATCTCTAACTAAAAATACATAAGTAGCCGGGCATGGTGGCACATGCCTATAATACCAGCTACTCGAGAGGCTGAGGAAGGAGAATCACTTGAACCTAGGAGGCAAAGGTTGCGGTGAGCTGGGATCACACCTTTTGCACTCCAGCCTGGGTGACAAAACGAGACTCCGTCCCCCCCCAAAAAAAAAAAAGTGATTTTTCTATATGAATTATCTCAATTAGGTGTCATTAATAAAAAATAAAAAATAAACCTCCTCTCCCCACAAAAATAAAGAAAGTTACTTCCTTAGGATAACCTCTCAGAAGTGGAAATACAAAGTTTTACTCATATGCCAAAGCACTTTTGAAACAGGTTCCAGATTTATACTACTTCCAACAACATATTTAGTACCTGTGTCACTGTACTCAGGTCTGAACCAGCACCATTTCTTAAATCTTAAATCTCAGAAGAGAAACTTGTTATTGTTTATTATTTTTAAAATGAACACTGTCTCCCCATATCTTAATCACAAACTTTTCAAAGGGTCAGCTCTTAGCCTTTAAAATTGACTTCTCTATGCATGTAACACAAATGTTTCAATTTCTCAGGAAATGTAGAAATGTACTTTTTTTATAGTTTTGGTCAGCAATAATTAACTCATCCCAACTCAGTTCTATTTCAGCTTTTAACATTAAAACTTTCCTTGAAGTCAAATATATTTTGAAACTTAAAGAACTGAAGAACTACTCTCCTCCTTAGGGAAATTAAAATTTCCCTAAAAGATCACTACTTGGGTTATACATGTTTCTAGTTTCCTGATTGCACTTAACTTTCAAATAAAATGTCCAAGTGGCTCCCAAGACATTTTTAAATGATATGGTATAGTTGAAAGGAAATTAAACATTTATTAACATCTTCTACAAGCCAAATGCTTTATGTGCATTACTTCATTTAATCCTAACAAATATATTACTCACACTTAACTGAAAAGGAAAATGAAAATCACCAATGGTAAGAACTTGCCATCCAGCAAATATGTGACAAAGTTAAGAGATCAAATTGAGGTGTGTCTAAATTTCAAAGTCCATATTCTTTCTGCCACTTTACAGTGCTTTCCAAGCTAAATGACTATGGAAAATCAGGCAAGACTTTAAATACTTGTTCTGCCACTTACTGCATGACTAATTTCTAAACTTCTTCAGAGTAGAGTTTCCAAAAAAAAAAAGGTCACTATTCACAAAATAAATATTAAAAGGAGAGGCTAAAAATTCACTGTGAAATGAAACGTTTTAAAAAATACTATTTTCTTCAACAGCAAAATGTATGAAATAATTCTAAACTCTTTTCTTGAACTTGTCTCAAGATTCACTTTACCTTCCAACAAGCAGAAGCACTTGCATATCATTCACAAACACGCAATGTAGATAAAAAACATTTATTTAGGGACTAACTGCCAGTCTCTTCTGTAGACCACAAACACATCATTTCT